GAGACAGAGACAGAGACAGAGACAGAGACAGAGACAGAGACAGAGACCGAGACAGAGACAGAGACACACAGACGGACAGACAGACACACTTGCAGATAAGCGTGCGCACACATGTGTGCACTCCATGTGCCTAGGCTTCTGTTTTGTAGTCAGCACCGGGAATGAATCTCTGACTTTGTGATGCCTCGTCAACAAGGCAGCTGTGCATGGCCACACCCCCCCCATAACGCATCAACTTATTCAATGCTTCGTGAATTGCATCAACTTCTTCAATGCTTCGTGAATTGCCTACAGTCCCGCACATCTGACCAATTACGATGGAGACTCATATAATTACATGTTCGTTATGTGGCTTTTTCGAATGTTCCCTGACGAAGGAGCAAAGAGTGTTCATTCTCAAGTAGTACTGCCCTACAAAGGATGTCCCCATTGCTGCAATATCCCAAAGTTCAATTTTTCTGAGGAGATACCAGGACAAATTTTGGATTGTTGGAGTATTGGTGTTTCTTCTGGCATCTTTGCGTACATACTGAGTTTTCGGACTTCCAGGAAGGGTGCGGGTTTCAAGAGTGGGGACTGGTGGTTACTTATTTGCTGATATATATATATATATAAATATAGAGATAGATATCAGATATATATATATATACACACACGGATATTTTCATGAATACCAATATCTCATCCAAATGCTGGCCATTAGCTACTATACTACCTATAACTTTTGTTTATGCAGTATTCCGTGTGTCCCTGAATCAATACATATATCGCTCACCTACATAATCAGGTATGTCGTAGTCAGACGTAGCTGACATGGCTCATTACATTAATGTTCTGTCCATAGTATCATTATCCAGTCAACCTCTAGTTGACATCTGTCCCGAGTATAATGAACATTCCGTTTTGGTTCCGAAGGCATTGAAACATTCAGCTGATGTCTAGATAACATGTAAACACATTTACTTACCTGGCATTTGGTGTTGATCGAGTCAGTGTTTATCTATGGTGTTTAAACTAGTTCAGCACATGTTTGGTTACTAGCTAGCTGGATGTCGCTACCATTGACGGGGTATGGATTGAGATTTTGACAGTTGTACAGCAATTACACTACCCGCAACTTTGTATGTCAAACCCTACAACACAGTTGTTGAGTGTTTGACCATTCTTTTGATATTGGGTTGTTTCAGTATGAAAGTTATAAAAGACTGCATGACTAAAAGGTACTCATCATCGACCAAGCCATCACTTGCAATCTACGTGACTTCCATCGTATGTATATTGATACTTTTTTTGATACTGATTCAAAAGTGGAGAACTGCAGAAAGAGATGAATCGAATATTGGGTTCAATGTCAAGTGAATAATCAAAGTCGTATCTGAACACCGTTGAAGTGCCATTTGCATATGGCTGAACTTCAGCCAAGTATATAGTATATCTGATTTTGTGATTTGTGATTAAGATTATGTAATAGCATTTGAATACCAGTCAAGTTGCTAAGCAACCGCTACTGACATGTTGAGCAGTTTCCTGTGACCATCAAAAAATACACACATGCCAACTACAAACAAAACAAGTTGTTGAACGTGGTCATTAGGCATAGTTACAGAACCCGTTCTTGAATGTCAGCTGCCATGAAACGAAGGATTAGGCAAGTATGAGTTACATGTTAACCTATCATACGCAACTTCTGGCTGCACAACCCGAACACTAGTATCAGATGAGTATTCCGAGTATAGTGTATCACACAGCTAGCATTTATGCAGCAGGCAACATTAGATAAGCAGTAACTGCTTTTAGTTGAAGCATGACGAAAATATGACATGATCGCTTGCCACCTAAATAAGACGACACTGTCTTGGTGTCGCCACAGTTTTTACAACTTGTTTGGTTTACAGTCTTTTTTGCACAAGCACGTATGTTTATATCTACCCTGATACCACATCTCATGGAGTAATATTATGAGCTGTCACAAAACATTGCTCTCAAGCTTAGCTCCGAATACGCAGTGTTCAATGGGGTTCGGCTCTTATTTCTGCACAAACGTTTGCCGGAATTTCATGGTGAAAGAGAGGCGGTTCTGATGCAATCATGTGAATACATGTTCCCATGCCACAACACTTCGAACCTCTGGGATGCTCCTTGAGTACCCCGAGGTGCGGGCTCCTCGTCGCAGTCCTCGCAGCGGCTCTTGTCGCCCGGAACGCGCACCACGTTGGCAGCCAGCAGCACAGGCATCACCCCACGAGGTTTGCGCCGTTCCCCGTGGTCTCTATCATCCGAAAGAAGCACGGTGGCCCCGGCGCCTCCTGCGCCTCCTGCGCCTCCTGCGCCTCCTGCGCCTGTGAGCTCGCGACAGCAGCCGGCGCCAGGGACCTCAAAGAGCTCGTCTCAGTCACGGTTACAGACTGACAAGAATGCATCGCCACGTTTGCCGAAAGCTTCCCAGAACCGGAGATGCCAGAGCACGTCAGCACTGGAGGTGGCACATGACCAAGGGTATACCTGGCCCGCGGCCGCGCAGTGCTGGAAGGTTCTTGAGCTGATGGCACCCATGAAGGCTGCCATAGAAGCCACGGTGAACCCGGCAAGGCAGGGCAGTGTGGCCCAGCCGCAGGCGGCCGATGTGGAGAAGCTGCGCCAGCATTGCGCTGTCATGACGGCAGCTGCTGCGGAGCTACAGCAGGTCCTGAGCCAAGATACCAGGCGCGACTCGGCGCGACGGGGGATGGGTGGGTGTAGATACGCACAGAGTCACAAAAGCCGCGAAAGAACCATCAGCTGCGATCTTTGTGCCTGATGCTTGCTTGCTTCTTCGCAAAAGATCGCAAGCTTGCGACAGGAGTTCAACCTGGATGCATGAACGGCACTTTGCTAAGAAGACCGGCGACAGTGCCGGTGCTTTCTCGCGGCATGACTTCGGGTCAGTAACAAACAACTTAGCACCCGATCCCCAACATCCAAGCAGATCTGAATAGAGGGGAATTGCTGCCCGGCTGGAAGCCTTCAAAATCCTTCATGCTAGTAAATGCGTGTCGATTATGCTAAGCTGCTAGTTCATACCGTCACGTTTTACATGTATATGGGCACATACTAACACATTCGTACAACACACGCGCACACACACACAGACACACATGCGATTGCATGTAGCAAAGCTTGCAAAGTCACTGAAGCAGGGTCTCAAACAACCACACATGATGACTATCGCAGGACAGCCGAGACCTCTGATGGTGGCACTGGCGGCTGCTTCGTGCCAAAATCGCAGAATTCAAGTGCCAACGCCGCGCCTGGGATGGAATTCAGGGGATTGGGGCGCTGGGATGCCAAAACTCCAAGAGAAATAGCCTTCCAGCGTGTGATGATTATCCCCGACTACTGCTCATTGTTGTCATGGTCAGCGGTTTGGATATCGTTTCTGTTCTAAGATGCAATACCAACTTCGGCCATGTTCGGCACAACCCTCAAGAGTTCCGAGACTTTTCGGTACCTAGCGTCGTGAAGCCTGGGCTCCGCCTGAGAGGTCCAAGCGAAGCAGCGATCAGAGGCCGAAGTCCTACAGCTAGAGGCGGGGTACCGTTAGTTTGGTTCCCATTCTCTTTGGGAATCTCAAAAAAATGAGACGACTGTGGGTGCTATGGAAGTTGTTCTCATTGCTTCTGTTCTCTTTCCCGTCGGCTCATCATTATAACTGTTGCTGTTGCTGTTGCTATCATGGCCTCTAGTGCCGTTGTTCTTTTACTTCTCATCACTCTTGTTCTTACTTTGCGGCTAGGGATTCCAGGTTGTGGGCTTCCTTCTTCTCAAATGGGGCGATGGGAGGGGATGAAAGACGAGGAGAAATACAAGGGCCCTCGGCCCTAAACCCCAAGCCAAGATCCAGCACATTTCAGGAGGATGCCAGGTGCCACGAAAAACAGCCACCCGACCACAAAGTCCGTGCCGCTCATTCAACCGACGGGCGCCTCAACACCGGGGCCAGAAAGAAGTCCTGCGCCGCAAGCCGAACTGTGTCGAAGCTAGCGCCATCGGTAAACCGTTCAATTTTTACGCGAAACCATTTTGGAGCTCAGCATTCAGCAAACAATCGGCTTGAACTACCCCACACCACAAACCCTAACCCTAAAGCCTGAGCCGTAAGCTTCTAAGCAGATGTGCCGAGTCCCAAAGCCTCAAATGCCTACAACTACGAAACTGTAAATTTCGAAGTTTCGAGCTTGAACAGGGCTGCAGCCGAGAGGTGTGGCGACCAGGTGCTCAGAGCATCTTCAAACTGTGCAGCATGCAAAGGCACTCCGAGCCTCCGGCACCACGCCCACAAGGTTGGGCCCCTCTAGCAACAGTCCTTGGCACAGGAGACTTGCCAAAAGCTGAAGGACGAGGTCGCCAGCCTAGAGGGCCAAGGAGCCAGAGCTGACGACTTGGAGGAGGCGGGTGCTTGACTGTACACTCCAAAAGGTAAAGAGCATGTTGGCGTTATCGCCTTTTTGTTTGTTGTGTTGCGTGTATATTCAGGATTGCGATGCTGAATCTTAAGCCCTCAGACGCCCCGAACACAACATCAAACCCAAGTCCTCACGTAGGGTCAAAGCCATACATGCTAGTAGGACAGTAGCTGTGCAACATGCAACAGGAAGTAGCAATAGTATAGCACAATAGAAGCATAGTGATCGATATCGCCGTCATAGTAAGCACGACGATAGCCATACAAACAACAATGATTGAATGAATAAGTTCAAGCAATAACCATAACTGAGACCATTACACTGGCAAGAACCAACCACTAGTGATTCCAGTAGCAAGAGCCTCTGGCAGCAATTTACCATGAGAATCATCGTCACCTGCTCCTTCCAAGAGAGAACGGAGCCCTCAGTCTTTGTGAGCCAAGGCCAAAGACCCGGGGTCGGAACAAGTGATACGGTTGATGATACAAATCATTACCCATACTCATAATGCCCTTAGGGCCCTTAAGGTAACGCAGGATTTATGTCATCAACAGTCTGAGCATTCCTTCTCGCAACTCAAGCGTCATGAAGCCCGAGGAACCCCCCCAAACCCTAAACCTAAACCCTAAACCCTAAACCCTAAACCCTACACCCCTAAACCCCTAAACCCTAAACCCTAGAGGTCGCTGCCTCGCTTCGGCGGCGCGTGGCGGAGCTTCGGGCGGAAGAGGAGGGGCTCATGAGTCCCACTCCATTCTACCCTGTATTGAATTTATTTGATACGGACTTACAAGCTTGTTTTGTAGAGTTGGCCGGTGTGGTTTAATTTATTCAGGGTTGAGTTGTTTCGGGGGTGTAGCGGCACAAGATGTGCAATGGTCCCGTGGTCCTGACGAACTCAAACTCTCCATCCGGAGCTGCCAAAGCAGCGAAAACCCTAAAGCCACGAGCCAGAAGCCTACAGTTGAATCGAAATTGAGGCTTCAGACTTCGGATATCTTCGGATCTCCTCCCTCTTCCCTTGTTCACCCCCAGGTTCAAATTACACGTCAGCCGTCTGTCCCAAGAAGAGGTTCTTCATGACCTGCATCGGCAGAAGCCCAAGCCCTGCCTAGATTTTGAACTTGGAGCCTCACCCTGTGGTGCCGCAACCTCAACTTCCGGAACCCGACTCTAAACAGTCGGGTCGAAGGCCAAAGCTGCAGCTCTCCGAAACGAATGTCGCCCATGGCTCATACAAGTGCGAGAAGCTGGAGCTGTACGGCCTCAGTTCTCATCATGTCTGCCATCGCCTCTCCCAGCCAAGGTGAGCTCCGCTTTCAGATTGCCGAGCTGGTTGCTTCCGTGGTCGACGGTTCGCCCTCCTCTCGAGCCCTCAGTATTCACGGAAAGCCGAACCTGTTTCCTTTCGGTACAAAGGATCTTGCCCTTGACCCCTGTTTAACGGCCCGCACATGCATGTTGCCAAACTTCTGCAGGCCTGGCTCAGCAACATGTATTACAGGGGTCCCTGAAAGCAAGTCCGGATGAACTGCATATCCCAAGATCATTTACCGATTATTGAGGCCCCTATGGTTCCATGGTACGATCCAAAGAGTAAGCCGCAGTCCGTTTTGCCTGTAATTTGGTACTGTAGAACTCGTTTCCCAGAATTCGTGAGGTGTCAAGATCTTCAGATATCTGCATGTTTGAGAGATGTTCCAGATACAGAGATCAGAGAATCAGACTGACGGTGGAAAGGTTCAGAGAGCTTCGAAACACAGTTCACCCGCGCAGATCCAGCGGCTGAGAGGGAGGAGCTGAAGGTTCGACTCCAGGGCTTGTCCCAAGGAGGCCCCGCATTCTGGGGAATGGGGGAAGAAGGGCTCAGAGTCGGTGGGGAGGAGGCTGTTCGAAGTTTAGCTCCGGATTGCATGCGCAGATTGTGGCATTCAGGGTTTTTGTGGGGCCCTTCTTGGATGGCCCCGGTTCCTTGCAGTATAGGAGAGATGGAAGACGAAAAGACCCTACTGGTATGTAGCCAGGGAGCCAAGTTTTTCGTCTGACATCAGGGGAAGCTTCGAAGCTTAAACTCTGCTCTGTCTCTACTCTTCTATATACTTCTACTCTCTTTCCTACCAAACCCACGACGACTAACTACTGGTCTTCCCTTCTCCACTAGAGTCTTGATGGCTGAGGGTTTCGAAGCTTCTTTGGCAGGTTGCTGACACACGCTCAGCCATGCTTCGCCCTCTTGAAGGGCCTCGGGACTTCTGAGAGTTTAGGGTTTAGGCTTTAGGTTTAAAGTTTAGGGTTTAGGGTTTAGGTTTAGGGTTTAGGGTTTAGGGTTTAGGGTTTAGGTTTAGGGTTTAGGGTTTATAGGGGAGTTCTGAGAGTTTTGAGACCCCGAGCCGCTGCTAACCTGCAGCGGGCTCGAAAGATGGGGCCCAGGCGAGTCTGAGATTTCAGAGGAACAGTAATATAGGGGTCCAAAGAATTACCAGGGGTTCCTTATTGTAGTTTATAGCATAAGATACCCCAAACTTTTTCTCATTATTAAGCCCTTTACATTCATTAGTGACTTTGAACAATGAAGTGTGCCTGTGTGGCTGTTCGAGATTGACTGTGGTCAATGTACCGTGGCATCTCCTTAAACTTCGCAGCATCACGAGCAACACGTTGTTCCTCTCCATTTCTGACCTTAGCAGAACTTGTCCTAAGTATGGTTTGGAGCGAATTTGTGCATGTGGGTTTGCAGCAGCAGCAGCAGCTACAGCTACGTCATCTGGTAGCATCGTGGCTTTTCGGAGCAGCGTTTACAACCGCCGCACAGGTGGGAGTGCATGCTGCGTCTTTTGCAGAGTCAGTTGACCACAGTATTTTTACTTGGAATTTGCGGTGCACTTCGTTAAACACGATGGAACTACGGTCAGACAAGTGGGACCCGAAAGCCGAGTCCTTGCAATCCGAAGCCCAAAAAGGCCTCAGCTGCGACAGGTTTGTTGGTGAGGTCTGCATGTTGCGAAACCGAAGCAGCAGCATTCAGATATGTGATGTTCTGCATTTGCTACGGTCGTGTATATTTCGCTGAGAGCAAGTTTGGCTGCTTATCGACCGGGGAGTCAGGGGTTCCAAGTGCGCAGAGGGCCTGCAGAACACATCCACCTATTCCAATACGAGGGATTTCGCTCAGTACGAAGTGACGACTCGCAGCATGAAGATGCGGAATCTAGGCAGTGCGCGATCATATTTTGCACTCGATGCACAAGTTTCCAGAGTGTTAAAATCCGAATTGGTAAGCCGAATCTCGATTTCAATGCTCAGAATGTCGTTGCCATGATGGAGCGACCTGCAACAAGCTTGCAGTCGCTGCCCTCGGTTTCTGGCTCGGCAGCACACCAAGTGGTTGTGTGTCTCGACGCTTACTTGTGTGGAGCTAATTCGTCATAGAGGCTGCTTCTGACTATGGCACCCCAGCCGCAGAGAGTCACCGAGTGTTTTGGAAGAAGGTGCTGTGACGCATGCTCCGTATGACATGTTTCCAAGTCCAGCAGCAATACTTGTTTTGAGTCCTTCACAGCCTTGTGTTACAGATGCAAGAAATAGGCATCCGTGCAGCTGGAGTATGCTTTGGCTCCAGCCTGTCAATTTCCCTTGAGCCGTCACGGGTTGACCAAGAAACTTCCCGGAAGCCTCTGTCCGCTGTGAAGGCCTGGACTTCGAGTGCTGCCGGCAGCTTCGTGCCAGCGCCCGTGCCGCTGCAGCAGCATTTCTCGCAGCAACCGTTGGGTTCTGAGCATTCGTTCTTGCTCTGCATCGTGCAACCAGGCCCGTGCGTTGCTCAGAACAATGTTGCTCATGATGTGTGCTGCTCGGGCAGGTTTCCTTCAAAGTGTTGCTTGCACAAGTTTCGCTTTACTTTTGCTGTTTCGAGACACTACGCCCGTGGCTATGTACTGAAGTAATCTTGGATGGCAGACATCACGTGGTGCACGTGTGGCTCTGTGTACACAGAGTGTACACAGGGTTCCAACTCGAGCTCTCTTCCTAAATTTCAGCTCATGCTTGAGCTGCGGCGCCCAGATCGTCACGCTGCAAGACCTGACTTGAGATCATGCACCCAAGCATCCAGCAAATTTGACTTTCTGAGGCCATATGCCGGACCATTCAGCGACCCAAACTTGACGCTGCAGGAGCAACGAGCACCACGATGATCCAGTAAGCCGGTTGGTGCCAGAATCGTGGATCTTTTTGAGCCATTCGAGCCTGATCAGGGCCGCGATAACTAACATGTGGCGTTGGACGGAAGGGTTTCTTGCAATACAACGTCATTGTAGCGTTTCCTAGAGCTTTCGTCCTGTTGAGCCTTGAGGAGATTGCAGACAAAGCGCCCGGCCCCAGCAAGAGCAAAGTCCTGCAGCTGCACGGGTGTGGGCAATCGCAACCGAGAGTTTTGCGTTCCACCAAGTGCTGAGCAAACTGCATCCGATGTTTATCTCGTGCCGCAAAGCACTCGACGAATTGTAATTTTGCTTGAGCCACACGACAAAGATTGCCCTACGGTACTGCGGTTCGTCTACTGCTCTTCAACCTGGAAGAGCACGTCTTGCATCGTATGTATGATGCAACAACCGTCGCCCACTCATTTGCAAAAACAGCTGGATCTCAGCTCTTCTCAGATGCGTGTCGCAAGTTCCATGAGCTGGTCTTGCAGCTGTTTAGGCCAATGCACTCCAGCAGCAGATCGACGAGAATGCCGGGCGTCAAAAGGCTCGCTTACACGGTTTAGGGTTTAGGGTTTCGGCCGGAGCGTTTCCACAGGCATCTTTCACACAGAGAATGAAAAGAACCCGGGGGGCAAGACGATGACAAGCGGGTGGCCAAAAGTGCAGTTGACAGGGAGATTCTGAAAAGCCCATGCTCACCTATCCCTAGGTTCCCCAGTAGTACCCTTTTGCCCTTTTTCTTTTTGGGTTCCCTTATTCAAACCAAATAGTAGGAAAAAGGGTACCCTTATTATTAAGGGGCTACTGGGGAACCTAGAAATCCGGCGCCAGGGCTCTAAAGCTCTTGCCTTGGGTTTCAGGCTTCGGGTCCGAAGACCCTGATTGCTCAGACAGCTACTTTGGCAATGACTTCTCCGGGTAATGTAAGGGCCTTAATAATTAGAAGAGGGTTTTGGGGGTTCCTTATTACAATTATAGTATAAGATACCCCCCAAACCCTATTCTAATTATTAAGGCCCCTATAGTAGGTCCCAAATACTCGCAAGCCCAGGGACCCGATCTGCTTTCTCTCGAGTTTCTTCTCTGCAGCTCCTCACCCAAACCATGGCTGAGCAAGAGACAAGCCCTGTCGCAGCTTAGTTCTTATTCGTGAGTTCTGGGTGTGATACTAATATATGCTGATTAAGATTGTTTTACTCGCCTTGTTCTTTCTGAGATGTGTTGTAGTTTTGGGCTTCGCATTCCTGCAGAGGCCGAGCTACGCTCTGCGATGGAAGCCAGGCACAGAGAGGCCCCCTTAAGGTTTAATGGTACGTACTATGAACGCGATTGTTGTGCTGGTGATGATAATGGTGATGGTCGTGATGGCGCATGGTGTTTCTTGAATGGCACTGATGTTCGTGGTGATGATGATTTGTGCAGCTTTCCTTGTCAGTGTCGAAAAGTTGTGCGCTCTAGGATCTCAGAGGCGTCGCATGTGAAGACTTGAGCTGCGAGTCACCGCGGATAGCACCAGTTCCAGGAAGGATGTGAAGAAGCAGATCTAGTTGGGATGGACCCCAAGACCCGAAACCTGCGCCGAAACTCCGAAAGTTGAACCTCAACCGGTGACCTCGCCCAGCCTGCAGGTTGAGCAGCACGCGCAGTCGATTCTACGGCACGCTGTGCAATCCATCGAGGTGCTCCATGAGCTTCAGCAAGTTACTGTGTGAGAACGTGATACAAGGAGTCGGTTTTTAAGGTGTAGGGCTCAGGCTGACGAGGGGCACGTGCCAGAGATTCGTTACGACTTCAATTCCTAGAGCCATCTTGACATGTTGGCTTCTCACACTTCTTAACTTCTTAGTCATGATTATTGCTGTCCTCGTCTCCAGTCGCCCGGAACCTCCCACCCACCCCCGCAACCCGGCACGCCCGGACAACCGAAACCACGACCCGGAACTCGGAAGCGGGACCCAGAAAGGGGATCCGGCCTCCCTTAGCCTTGGCGCAAGAAGAACAGTATCCCCTCACACTTTCATCCGAACCCTGAGCCGGAGAATGGAGAAGGGTGTAAGCCTGGAAGCTTGGTTGCAGATTCCCTTGCATCAACTGGCTTATCAGAAGTTTTTGAAGACTGGAGGAATAAGCTTGTTCTTTGTTCATCTGGTTGGCATAGGGCAGCTAGAGTTTGATAGAAGCCTTCTAAGCTCCTGGCTCATGCGACATTGGCCTCCTCGTCTTTCCGCAAAGCCGTGGACATGCGTCCACAAGACTATCCACAGGCTCGAAAAGCGAGCCAGCTGCAGTTGATTGAGCGCCAGCGGGCGCAGGAGGAGGCGCAAAGAATACCCTCGTGGAGGGCTAGAGTCGGGGATGTTGGCTTTTCAGGCGCTGACCGTGCCCATTGCTAGGAGCCCATACCACATATTCGCCGTGGTGGAGCGAGTCTGTGTCCGTCGCGCATAAACAAGTACGCAAGCAATGCAAATCGACAGACTGGTCAGCACAATGTCCCTAACTGACGGAAAACTGTCTCACGACACAGCTTTGTGAATCCTTTCCACAACCTCGGCCAGCATATTATGGGAGTTTCAGAAAGTGCGGGACTTCACAATCTAGACGCTAAGCTTTGTGTCAGGACCCGATTCTTAATGAAACCCATTTGAACCCTATGAAGCCTAAGCCCTGCACGCCAAACCCTGAACCCCTGTGTCGTATCGAGGGTTTGTCCAAGGCGGCCACACGCCACGACGCTTCAGAAGCCAAGAAGCTCATCGACCTCGAGGATGGCGAATAGGGTGGGTTCCAGGGTTTAGGGTTTAGGGTGTTGGGCAAGGGCAGTTGCATAATTTGTCTATTGCATGTTGCTTTATATACTGTATGTTGTATATGTGGCATTATAGTAAGTACGTCTTATCTACTATTGTCTGTTAGATGGTATTTGTTCCTGATAGTATCATGTTGTAATCTGCTACATAGGGCCTTCATAGGAGTTGAGTCGGGAGAGATGTCGTGGCAACCGCGCAGTACCACAGGTTTTCGCACAGCTGGGCTCTGATTCACTTGCTGGGCTGCTTGAGGCCCCAACAGCATGGCGAGAATAGGTATCTCAAGAGTGGAATGCCTCGATGGATCAAGAAAGGAGTTCATAAATGATGGGAGCCATCGTATTGATCGCTCTAGCAAGGAGGAGGAAGGCAGGAAGGCATATGCCCTGAAGCAAGTCTCTCTGCAACCCCAAGCTGGGCAGATGCAGAAAGCTTTGGCTGCCCTGGGTGTGAGCCACACCCACCAGTGGATGGGCCCGACTACCGTGACCCCTGGGCTGCCGCCGTAAACAAAAAAGAAGGATTCCGTCGATGTTTCCGGGAGGCTTGGTAGCTTCAGAGTTCAGTCGCCACGTGTGCTGATTGCTACAGAGAGGTTATCTCCTTGATCGTCCTTGTGAAACAACGTGAATACGGCCTCTCAGTTTCAGATACATCCTCGCTTTCTTCCGTTTGGGGCTTGCAGAAAGTCTTCAAGCAAAAGACATGATGCGACATAGTGCATAAAATCTCTCAAACCCTTAACCCTAATTGAAGACGCTAGCAGCTGCGTGCACGGCTTGTTGTGAGAAACGCAAGGAATGTGAATTACAGGTGCGAAGGCCGCACACGGGTTCCTCAGTTGCTCAGCAGGACGAGTTTTTAGTATTTAGTAAGGTTTCTACTTCTGTGCCGAGCGCTCGACCAGACCCGTCAAGTTCTCCAAAGGTCCCTGGACCCGAAACACGACGGCGAAATCTGCCCTCTGCACTTTGACTCTTACTTGCAAGGCTTCTTCTCAGTGACAGGCAACTCGTCTTGTATTTGCTTTGTAAATTGCTTCGAAGTCGACGGACACTCCACGAATAGTGGATTGTTTGACGAAACAACACTTTGAGGGTGCATGACTGTCTCACAGCGCGTCTCTGTCGGGGATTTATCATTCTGAGTGGGAGTGGTGAGTAGGGGCCCCTTTCGCAATAGTTCCGCGATTTTTCGCCCGCCCTCCCATCCCTTACATGTAGGGCAGGTGGCCCATTTCTGGTCAAGGTAACTTCCTGAAGCGGTGGAGGAAGGGTCGTTACCGTCCTACATATTCAACACGCGCCCGGTGCCCCGTGCACATACAGGATCGAAGAGATGAGTTCGATGCGATTCCTCGTTCCATACAGTGATCGTCCGAGTGAGTGCATCGCTTGATTCCAGTTCTATAGATTGTGTATACATATCTTGGTTGGACGTTTCCATGTGAGGAGTGAGGAGGTTTTATATGTGAGCAGTACCCGTGTGCGATCAAATAAAAATGACTGCTTTCAGTGAACGTTACAGGGATGCTTCATTTTATCAGACCAATGGACTGGAACCTGCTGGCTATCTATGTGCGATTCAGACTGTGCTTCCATGTGTCACTGCTCTGTCCGACGCAGCCGGCGCTGGAGTCTCAAGAGCTTGTATTAGGCACCATCAATCGCAGAAATAAAGGGCCTTGACGCCTACCTCGCAGCGGGATGCCTACGCTCTCCTCGTGGTTGCCGCATCCTGCATCGACAATCCGAGCTTGGAACTTATCCCGTGGCAGTTGAAATGTTAACATTTAAACACTGGCGCAAAGGACTCTTATGATTCGTGATTGGCATTCAGGAGGTTTCACATAGGCTTTATTCTCCGTGCAGAGCAGTTTCACACACACACACACATCTCAGAGGCAACCTCACCCCGATGAATGGTGCTTCAGGCCATGGAAGTAGAGATGAAGCGGGTACACCAGGGAATCTTCTTTTCCACAGCCCACCCCGACTTGCATGAGAGGCTAGAGCAAACTTGACCACGCAAATTCAAGCCGCAGTTGCACCAAAAGGGAGTTGTCAGTGGGCTTTGAGGACCAGGCTTGAAGTTACTTTCGGAACCGCCGCATTTTTGCGACCATCCTCCCTGCCAAAGTACGAGAAAGCAGCCTTTCCCCTGGTGCAGTCTGTGGAGCGTAATTAGTGCAATATCGTTGGTCGTGAAGAGCAGTCTGAGACAGTGGTATAATATGCCCTTGCACAGCTTGTCTCAACACAAAGTAGTCAGATTGAGCTGCCTACATGCAGCGCTGAGGCAGGATGACTGTGCAGCGCGAGGCCAAGGATAAGCTTCGCCAACCTCTCAGACACGGTGCCTCCCTTTCCCTGGTTGCCATGGTTCTGACATGCAGGTAGCTTGAGTGTCCCTGCCCCGAAGTTCCAGGAGTCAGGGTGGAACGAGCCTACCATTGGTGCCTGTTCGAGGCAGTCTCAGCACAGACATCTCCCCAGCAATCCAGAATCCAAGCATGGGGCTTCGGGCATTCTCCCGTCGAAGAGTGCTGTGATCTCGGCACGTGTGACCACCTGACACGACCCTCAAAACTTGTTGAGATGTCTTGAAGCTTGGCTGCTTCATTGCAGGCATGCAGTTGCCCACGCCCGGTCGCTTCCGCAAGCTTGTGGGAGTCCCACGTAAGCTTTCAGGCGTCTGCTGGCGGGCATATGGCTCTGTATGCCGTTTTCAGTTTTGTCCCACTTCACGACCTGACACGCTCGCTTCGCCTCCCCTCGCTTTTGTATGGCAAATCGTTTGATCCTCCTCAATGCCACCATGCGAAGACAGCCACAATACCTGGCGGGATTTGTTCCGAATATCCCCTGTTCTTGCAGAGCAGGCCGCAGGCTGCACATACTTTGCAAAAAACTCAACACACAACCTCTACACCTCGAAAAGGCTTGCTGTCTTCAGCCTAGGCCTGAGCCTCTCGGAGGGTTTAGGGCAACGGGCTGAGAAGAGGAAGCTGATACTAGCACTAGGGACATAATGCAAGGGCTCCTCGGCCTGAAGAGTTGCTCTTCAGAGTCTGAAGAGGGCTCACGCTTCCTTGCAACGATGTCCGAAGCGTCGTCGCCCGAAAGGACTGCACGAGCTCCCTGCACCATGGTATTCTGCGAACCCGAAGCGCGATTGCTTCAGGCAGCGGCCGGGTCCACACAAAGTTTTGAGCAGGCCGAAGGGGTCCAGTTTGCTTGTTACAGCTTTGGCCAGGCTCGCGGAGCTCACGGCCCACTGTCATCGAAGTAGAAATGGGGCGAGCATGAGCGAGCCTCAAACCTAAGCAGAATCTCAGGTCCTGCATTTACGGAACACTGCAGGGAGCATGCAGCGATGCAATGTTCCGAGAGCACAAGGCAGAGTCGTCAGCAGAAGCCTGCGGGTAGTGCTAGCATCTCTCGGAGTGGAGCCACGGAGAACGATATGCCAGTTTAACCAGGCAGACGATCTCATGTGATTCGTGCCACTCCTGGTGATGGCTAAGCTGCGACCCCTGGCGCGGACAGCCAGACTCGTGAAGCATCGTAAGCATTCCCAGACGTCACTGGATTCCCTGGGCCAAGCATAGCAATGCTGCCCAGCTGCATGAAGTGTCAAACTCAGACTTGGCACGACAGGCGTCAACTGGCAATGCTTTCTCTGGCCTGACGGACATGTTGGGCGAAAAGCGATTCGAATTCGAGACGATTCGTTCTCATGTATGTGCAGCTCTTGGCGCACACTGACGTCCGGTAGGCTTACGTCGTCAACTCGTGCCGGTTCTCCCAAAATTGTGCGTCGTAGATTTCAGGTTCTCTCGGCAATCCGTATACACGCGGCGATCTATCACGTCCATACCCATGACCGCATTCTGCCGTACTTGCTCGCTTCCTTCTCTTCTTGCACCTGGCTTTGGATCGACATCCGCAGCTTTCGATGTCGCGTCGCTTGCTGTCACCATCCCCCCACAACGACTGTTGCCGACTCGCACCAATTAGATTCAAGCACAGAGGTTTCGCCCGACAACTGAACGCATTCCGCCTGTCCCCGGGTGCACCTGTGAATCGCTCGTCTCCACGGCAACATCGGTGATAGCTGCAGAGTAAATCCGTGCTGGAAGCTGTTGAGCCACTGTTTCAGCGCTCTTCCCATCCAAACTTTCTCGTTTGCCGTTGTAAGCCGTTTCATGCATCCTTGGCAAGGCCGACGCCAACGGTGGTCACGTGGTGCCAGAGCAGTGTGCAGAGTTGCAGCTGCTCAGCGTTGCGACAGAGTCAAAGACACACTTCTTGCTGCTTGCCTTGCCGCTACAGGGGGACAGGACAACAGCATTTTCACAGGCGGCACTTGATCGGTCGACCGTGTCTCTTAAGTAGACTCGCTGCTGTACGTAAGGCCCTGTCGACTAGCCTGAAACTGCTTGCCGGACGGTTGATACGGAGCCACATCGTGCCTCTTCGCGTCACAAAACGCCTTCTGCCGTCCCATCGCTGTGCCTGGCGCAGTCCTCAGGTCCTCAGGTTGAATCAGCTTTGATGCAATACTCATTGCGTGAGCTTTGGCTTCAGATCCTAACAAGTTGTGTAGGACTTGCTGAAGCTATAGATCATGAATGGGTGCCTGACAGCCCGCTGTCTGTCGCAACCCCCGAAAGGCGTGTGAGGCGGCTGCAGGGGTCCCTCTTCAATGACATTAACATTTGAAGCAGATCATTCCTATCGGTCGAGATTTGGGTTGCTGATTACAACTGCGATAGCAGCAGCAGGGCAACAAGCAAGCAGTCAATAGTCGTGCAGTGCTGAGCTTGTGCTGTTGGTTCCTCTCCAGAAGCTCAGCAGCCTGCAAAAGGTGCGATAGCTTGCCTCCAGCACGGCACACGCTTGAACATCGTGGCTCCCTCTTCCGGTGTTCTTTGGTGACAACATCGCCCGCAAGAGTCACTTGTGATGGCAGAGGAGGAGCATAACAGGCCTCCGACTATTCCTGGGCTCATTGCACGTAAACGTTCATCATCACTTGCCCATGTTGCGTTTCTGCATGGCAAACCGAGATGTCGTGCAGGAAGCTGGCACTACGAGTCGGGAAGAGCAATTCAAAAGGGGCTCGCGAAGGAATTCGTGCGTCTTCCTGATGCCATGTTCCTTGTAACATGAGGTCTGCATATTGGCCAACATGCTGTACATGGCATGTTTTGCATGTTTGGGTTGAATGACTGCAATCCGCGGTGGCTTTTCCACCAGAAGTCTTTGTGGTAGGTTTTTGCCCATTGGATAGAGAGAGGCTACGGCTCGCAGGTGCCTGGCAGTGTCGGCTTCAAGTCAGGCCAAGCAAAGTAAAGTGACACATCCCTAAAGCGCAGCTCGCACACAGTGCGCTTTGCGGATTTGGCTCGTCTGAGGAGCAGTGTCTTCCGACATCCATTTCAAGATGCTGCGCAGAAAGATCGCGAAGACTTGTGGGTAGCCGTACTAGGCTTAC